TAATACAGTGTTTCAAATTGGAGGGGCTGTGGGAATAAGGAAGGAATGATAGCAAAAACTTAGATAGATTTCCATTATATAAAATAGGTGGATATATGTCAGCTTCAAAGTCTTCGATTCAGATTATTTCCTCCAGATTTTCAGAATATCAGAAATAATTTTTTGATCTGTACAGTCTTGAAAGCTGATCTTCAGTGGAGCTGTTGACACATGTCATGTCCTTGTAGGGCTCCATATATTAAATTACCTTACTGTCTCACTCAAGTCAGACTGAACATGGCAGCTAAATTTTCATTCAGTTTTCTGGAGGATTTCACATCACAGTCTTCAAACCACAGGGAAATAGGGTAGTGGAAATTAAAAAGAAGCACAGAAGAGTAATTGAAGGAAAACAGGAGAAGACAGTGTAAGAGTGGAAAGAAGTAACGGAGGTTAGAAGTGAATGCTGTGATGGGAAGGGTTGCGAGAAACGAATGGTGAAGGTGAGAGAAATGACAAAACTGAAGGAAGCTACATGGTGGAGGACTCGTTGTATAATAGAAACGTATTGAAAGATTATTTTTTTTTTGTAGCACCTATTAAGAAAACCTTTCTCAGGCTGTTTCTTCCTTTCCATAGAAGACCTGGATTATTTCTTTCCAAGTTATGCTAAAGCCTTCCAGAATATCTGGAACATTGTTTAATTGTCTCTGATAGGAAAACAGTCATATTGTCCATGATTCTGAAAATATTAGTGATAATTTTGTGAGGGTACTGAATTTTCTGTTCAATGAAGTTACATCAATACGGAGCAGAGTCAGTAGTAGACGTTAATAGAAAAGGTGCAGCATGTCTGGGCAGCCAGAACCCCCTTTGGGTTTGACAAGTGATGATTAGGACCTGTGGAACAAGCTGAATAGTCTGTAAAATGTGGGCGGAATTGCTGCAGCCCCCCCGTGCACCGGGAGTCACAGAACACCTGGTTTAGACATGGGCGAATTGGAGGATGCGCGCTGTTATCCGTGTAGCATTCTGTGGTTGTCTTAAGTGCATTCCTCTGGGCTTGGGTGTTTCTAATGAGGACCTTGAAGTATCCAGGGATTTCACCGAGACTTTGGGATATGCAGGGTATGTAGCTTGAAGCGTAAGGAACCAAATTGCTCACAAACTAAGAGGAAGAAATGGTAGCAAAGCTAGGAGAAAGCACTGATGTTCCCACAGAAGTATTTAGTATTGCAATTTAAAATATCTTAAGGGTTCCCAAGTTAAAATCTTGGGTCTATAATTCCTTTTACTGGCCCAGACAGAAGAGGATAGATAAAATTTTGAAATACAGAGATGAGTATTAAATCTGATGATGACCTTGAGCTATGGAATAAACTTTGCATCGTGAGAGATCTAGTGTACTTTCTACTTTATTAACATATATCTGTAAACACTATGGGGTCTTGATTGATCTTTGGTATCTAAACATTACATCATAATTAACAACAAATCCAGAAATATATTATAAATACGTGAAATAATAGTACATTAACCTAAAAGATGGCAATAAATTGCAATGCTTAGCATAAACTTGAAAACCACTAATGGGCCACTGTGCAGTTTGTTTATACTATAAGCAGTCAAGAACTCTGTGTAATGTACAGTAACAGCGTGGTGGAGAACAGCAAGCCTGATGTGATAATTTATGTATTTTTTTCATGGACACACACAGCTGATTTTTTTTGAAGTCATTTCTGAGACTGCCACAGCGAGCATTCTCCTTTCAGCCGGGTCCAGTGCTTGCTTCCAGATCTGCTGGAGAGTTACAGACTCCTTTGCATTGCACAGAGGGACTTGTGCTGTTTAGATATGGACATATTTAACTCATGCCCTTGTATGAAATTGGAACTATTCTCTGAATTACCTCCTTGAACTGTCTGTGGTACTGCTACTCATCGTTCGTCTGTGAGGCCATTTTTGAGACTGGTAGGAGATAGGTAAAATTACTGCACGTGTAACGGGAGCTTCCAAAATGCTTTTTGTTGCTGCTGAGTGGGGTTTCATAGCTGTATTCCTATAAATCTGAACTCATTTCACACTCATCTGTCAACACTTTTTTTCTTGTTACTAATGAGTCTTAAAAACCTGTTTGTTCTCTGCCTCTGTGGTTTCAGCCATATTTTAAGTAGTCATGACCGTGATACCCACTCTCTAACTGCAGCGAGTGGTTGTGATCATTATTTTAAAGAGAGTGTTTTGGATTACGTTGTTCCAAACCTTCCCGAAGATCAAGAATACTTTTTTCTGTGTAATGTTTATGCTGAAAAAAAAAAAAAACATCCTGTAATGATTGCTTCCCAGTTTCTTGGTGTCCTGGGTGCCCAAACCACGACACTTGGCATGTCTTGTCATATGCCAGGGCTGTTGTATGTGTTTGCAAAACAACATAATCCTAAGGATGCAGACTCAAAACTGAGTATTAATATAGAAACATAGACATTTCTGTTATGCAGTACAGTGAGATACAATTTTTTTTCCTACTATCACCTCATAGAAATGTCCTCTAAAGATGCTCTACCAAATAAGATAAGAGAGGGTACGTGGCAGATGTGAGTGAAAGCAGTGATTTAAAGAGTTTAGCTCTGAAATCAGCTGAAGTGCAGGAGGGAAGAGATTGAAGAGGCCCAGGCGGCCTGGCTGTCCTGTAAATACAGCTCAAAGGGCTCAGTTCACAGGGAGATTTGTCAGGTCCCTTCCAGCTCACTGTTCTCGGGGGAGAACACTCTTCTGCAAGGAGCGTGGAACTCCAGAGCAAGACAGAAGAAACTTGTGTTGGAGGTAGAGAGTGAGTGAGCAGAGCAGCAAAGAGGAAGGAAGAGAAAAGCTGTATTCTTGAGGCTGGGACTTATCGGGAAGGGAATTTAAAGCTGGATCTAAAACGAATAGCAAATATCTGGAAAACAGTGATGTGTTCAGAGGGGCCACATCTAACAACAAACATGGCCATTCTTCCTGGTATTAGAAATTAGAAAACAGGGCCTTTGATAGGATTGGAGTTATATTCCAACAGCCTTAGTGATTTCATTATATTGGTGATCTTTCTGTCGTAACTGAGAATGACAATCTCTATACAGTTCTTATGTTTGAATTGGACTGGTAGAAGTTGCCTCTTTAAACAGCAAGTATCCAAATACTCTTGGTGCCACAGTGTTTCTCTGACTCCAGGGCTTTGGGGTTTCTTTTTTTGGCTCTTGTTAATCCCTGTGGGGTCTCTAATCCTTTCTGAGCAATCTATTAAGGTGAAACACTTTGTAGGCAAACTAGGAGCTCTAAGTGCTGTGACTTTATGCCAGTAATACCAGAATCACTGAAAGTGCTAAACCTGTCAGATTTTGGGGAGATTATTCAGCTGTATCATTAGCAGATCATTTGAGTATGTCACCATAATTGAAAAGAGCAGGTGTGTAGTGCTGTTTTTTAGTTTATCTATGTAATGTTGATGAAGCATTTTGTGTCCTGACAGTCTGTCAGCCAAATATCTTGTCACAAGTCACAAGACTTAAATCCTTTTTTTATCTCAAAGGCTTCAGGGCTCAGTTGGAAACTTACACTTTGATGAATACTTGCTGCTTTTGTCTGGAGTAGCTGGAGTGCATTTCTGGAATATTTGTCAAGATTTTATCAGTGTTTACTCCAGTTTGAGTACCTAGTGTATTGTAAAACTGGCTTCAGTGAAATCTTAAAGAATTTTATTTAGTTTATGCTGTTTAATAATATAATGAAAACTAATCCTTCGTCTATATGTTTGTTTGCTGTGCTAAATCCCACTTGCGTACGTGGTTCTTTTTAGCCAGCTTTTACCTTTAAAAACATTTTTGGAAGAATTGTTTTAGGGTTTTTTTCCTATGATAAATCATTTTAACCTAGACTACTTGTTTTCTTGAGTCATCTGCCAGTATGAGGTTGGAAACAAACTTTAATCTCTCTTTTAAAGCATTCCTTCAGGAACAAGAATTTGCTTTCCATCAAAGCCTTGTGTAAAGCACACTTAAAAGAGAATTAAATCCTTCTGGACTTTGTATCTGAGATCTATGTAAGGAGTAACTATAGTAGAAAATATTTAACTGTATTTTTCTATTTGCTTCAAGACTGACCATTTTAAGCTAAAATAAGACTTGTGTTTCTCAAGTAGTGGGTAAGTACTTGTCTGCATAAGAAGAAATCTAACTGAGGCCTTGGCTGGGACTTTAATAGCTGATTAATGAAGATTGTTATGTGTAAAATGGAGTGGGTTTATACAGAGAAATGGCCCAAGTTGTTCAGTTTCTTCTTCACAAAATTTTAAATCCAAAAAAGAGCATCGGTCCAGGAATACCTGGATGAATGGTAGTTCCACTAAGGGATACACTGACAGTAACAGGGTTGGAGACCATTATAGACAGCTTTTGAAAATACTAGCCATGGATTTTTGGTTTGTTAAGTTATGTAGGACATGGTATTTCTGTTGACTTAAAGTATAGTTCTGAGTGCCAGTATTTGTGAAAATCAGGCCCAGTGGTGAGATCTCTCTCTTCTTCTCATCCTTCCCTTTTCCCCTTTTTGGGTAATCTCTAAAAATTAAAGTAAACAAGCAAATAACAAAACATGTAATTGAAATGATTTACCAACTCTTTTTAGAATGAAATTCCATTTGAAAATTACATCAAGCTCTTGTGGCTTTCTGTAGTACTTTGCAGCATGGTTTGTTTTCATAAATTCAGGCCCGTTGAGAAGAAAAATCTCAGAATATTTTGAACGCACAAAATTTGTAACTGGGTGTGACAGTGCGGCTTATATTTAGAATATATACTGAATATATACTGAATACTAAGTTCATCAATATATATACAAAAGTTCAAGTTATTGCCTAAACTCAAGGGTTTTTAGTCACATTTCCAATGAAGATTTGTGTTTGTTTAAACCCTGATGGTCCGTTTCCTTTGTTAGATGTGTGTACGTCAGTGGCTACATTCCCATTTCACTCCTCTGTTTTCTAGGTACAGGATATCTCCTTCAGCCACGACTGTCGTTGGGTTGTGGTCAGCACGCTTCGTGGCACTTCCCATGTTTTCCCTATCAACCCTTACGGCGGCCAGCCCTGTGTTCGAACACACATGTCGCCCCGGGTGGTAAATCGCATGAGCCGGTTCCAGAAGAGTGCGGGGTTGGAAGAGATCGAGCAAGAGCTGACATCTAAGCAAGGAGGACGCTGTAGCCCTGTTCCAGGCCTCTCAAGCAGCCCGTCTGGCTCACCGCTCCATGGTAAATCCCTTTATGTCTTTTTTTTTTTTTTTTTTCCTTCCCCATACATTGTCAAGAAATTTTGCCCCATGTCCTCAAAGATGTTTCAGTACCTGCCGTGTAGCTGCCTGACTGGAAAAGATTTGGTTCCTAAATGTCTTTGGAGATGCTGGCCTAAAGATCTTCACAGTCTTCCAGCTTCACTGTTTCAGCAGTATGTGCTAACAGCCTGAACAACGGAAACATTGATTTTACTGGAAATCGCAGGAATTGATTTGGTTCATTCTATTTGCCCATGTAGCTTGTGCCACTGTAAAATGATTTTCATAAAATAAGGTGCTGCAGGTATTGTGCAAAAACACATAATGTATGCAGATATTATAGGAACGAGCCAAGGTATAAATACTTCAGAAAGATAGCTCTAGTTTTGCAGCTCACCTAAGTAAACTGTGCTATCACAGCTGTGTTAATAATTTCCATTCTAAACTGGAAGTTTTGGGGTCTTTAGGTTTCAACTTTTGTTTCCACCTAGCACATGGTCAGTAATCTGGTCTATATTCAAATGCAGTTGCCTAAAATTCTCATTGTTCATCAGCCTCGATGATCATGAAGCACATCTGGATATCCACAATAAATACTGTTTGAGGAGAAAGGTGGAAACTTAGGCCGTGTGAAGTTGATTTTTATCCACTTTTTTTTTTTTGTGTATGTATGTGTTAGCAATGTAACAAAGTACAAAGGAAAACTGTAAGAATTGATCTGTACATCCTATGCCTGTGGTGGACGTGCTTTGGAGAAACTAGAAGGCTGTGAAGGGGAGCCTCTAAAAAGGGTTCAAAAATCATCATTGTCCCAGGCTTCTTCAGTTCGTCTGTGCCGTTCTTTTTGCCCTTCTCTTTCATGAGGTCAGTACTAGAAGCTGCTTTGTTTGGATTCAGGATTTGCTGCATCCTTGCCCCTCCTTCCTGTTAAGAGTAAGTCACAGCTTCCATTGAAGTGCAAGTTTAAATAGCGGTTTGGTACAGGCAGCCACCCTTTTCCACTCGGAGAGTATTAAAAATGGCAAAGAACACTCCCTCTTCCCTAATCGTGAGTAGGATTAGAAGTGCTAGTGAAAGCCTAGCTATGTGCTGTCACAGGCAACATCTTTGCTGCTATAGAGAGAACTTCTGTGGAATTTCTGAATCAAAGAAACATTTTTATAACTTGTTGATTATTAAGGAGACCAGACTTGACTCAGAAGCAGCGTCTGTGCTTTCTCCTTTCTTTGGAGTTTCCTAAACAAAGTTTTCTGATAGCTGCTCTGGTGCCGTGCTCTTCTGCCTAGAGCCACTGGAAGGCACCCAAAACGTGATCTGTAGCTTCCTCCTCCTCAGAGACGTTTGTGTATCTACCATTTTACTTTCTCTCTCATCGTTTTACAGCCGCTCAGCATGTCAGGCCTGAAACGGGCTGGGGAGTGCTGGAAAGGTTTCCTACAGCACATCCAGTCCCTTTTAACTGTTGACATCACGTAGAGGAGAGGAAGGGAACTATCAATCTGTGCAGCTTTCATCCAACCAATTCTGTGTTCTGTCGAGAGAAATTGCAGTAAGTTGTTGCCTTTACAGTACTCTTAGGTACATCTGAAGCTGTGAATAGTTTTGACATGATATTGTTTTTTTTTTTTTCTTAAGAAGAAACAGCAGTTTCATTTGCTCTAGGATCCTCAGTGGTAGACAGATTTTCCAGGTGGGAGAAAGACATGAGTGGACGAGTTACAGAGAGAAAGGGAGCAGCATTTATGGGAGTGTCTCAAGAGTTTTAAGGCTTCAATTTTCAAATGTCACATCTTGAAATATAATTAATAAATCAGACTTTTTTCAAGATCTCTGTGCAGTCATCATTGTTTGAAAATTAGCTGTGTTTAAACAGCTCCATTTGAAGGCTGCATATGGGCACTGAGAATTAAGGCAGGAAGGTTACTTCTGTTCCTGGAGAACTTCACACAGGTTATGCTCATCACTTTGTCGAAGTGTAGAAGGGCTTGAAGTTGGACACATACTAAGACTGTGTGTTGGTAACTCTCAAACCTTCATATGAAAATTTGCCATGAGAAATTTGTGGGGATTATATGGAGGTGTTAGCGGAGTTGTCTTAAAAAAAACCAGAAAGATAAAATAGTTTGGTTTTAAATAATCCATTTGGTAAAATATTGTAATGTTTTCAGTATTATCATTGCTGCTTTTTCATTTCAGTAATCTTTCCATTTACCTGGCTGAAGGCAGGCAAGATATTGAACCATATTATCTGCCTTTCATAAAAAGCCACTTCCCATCAACTTGGACAAAAACCCCTGAAGTTCACAGTGACTTTCAGTGGAGGGATTTTGTGTGTGTGTGTGTGTGTGTGTGTGTGTGATCTGGATTAGTCAGAGACTGGTGATTATTTTAATTTGTGAGCTAAAATGTGTTTACTCAGATTGTACCAGCTCCTTATCATATTACAATGTTAAATTATTGTTGTTTGGAGGAGTTACAGCAGTCTGGTGACAAGAGTGTAGGCTGGTACTCAGAATAGAAGAGAAGCATCCTGGGGTTTAATTCTTTGCTTTAACTCGCTCTGTGACCCTTGGTAAATTTTATTCAGCTGATTTTGTCTATCAGCTTTATACTGTGTAACAAGAATAATAATCTCTGTGTTCCCCATGTGTGGAATTACTTGAATTTTATAGTTGTCTTCAAGAAGAATAACTTACTTTCCTTAATCATCCCTCTAAATGCAGTTGATTATAATGCAAATAAAACCAAAGGCTATGTCCTGGAGTGCACCATTACACTGGGACAAATTGTTGATTAAGCAACAGATACAGAGAAGATTGTGATAAACTGGTTTTATCTCTGGAGGATTTTTTTTGCGTGGAGTCATGTCATCATCATTTACCTCTTATGTCCTTTGCAACCTGGAAAAGTTTCCATAAACCCTAAGTTAGAAAACCTGCTGTTAATACTTCTGCTAATATTTCTTTTGCATTACAATAGGGCTGCTACAACCTTAGGCCAAAAGAGCGGACTTCTGTGAGCAAAGCACTTGTTATCTTCTTTTTTGATTAGCAGTTGTAACCTACTGATGTTAACTTGTGATTAGCTTTTGTTCTTGTAAATATTTTCCGAGCTCAGGCTTTGTAGAATTTTTCTCACTTGTTGTTTAACTTCTAGTTTCAAAATGAAACTGTTTGCTATGTATATAGTAGCAAGGCAATCTATTTACATTTTGTTCAGACTACCCTAGGAACTGTTTACCCACACAATGTAAGCCTTTACTGGGGGTGGCGATGATCTGATTTCCAAATGAATCATAGTTTGGCTTTGTTCATTTTAGCAGACTGAAGAAAACTGTTAAATAGAGGATGATAAAGAGATATATCCTTTGCACCTTTTATAGCTAACACAGATTTTGTTTGGGCTATTCTGTCTGTGAATCCAGTGAAGTTATATTTTTGTCATTCCTCTGGATTGCCAGAGTGTGTTGTCAGTAATATCTGAGTCGGGTTGGGATCCTTTTATGGCCTTTTACTATTATGAGACTATTACGACATCAGTTGGTTGTGGGGCTGAACGTTAGTGTAGAATATGGCCTTATGTGACCTCTTATATAAAATGGGGCTTATGGTACTTACCTGTCGCACAGGTACACTGTGTGGATTAATGGATGAGTAATTAGAATGGAACTATGTTCCTGATCATGCACACGCATCCCCTGTTGTCTTCAGGACACCTATGTGTGAACAGCAAGGAGCATTCAGCTGTAAAAATGTAATGCTTTCCATAGACTGATCGACATAGATTGATTAGTATTAGATGACTGACATAGACTGAAAGCTCTAGATAACTCTTACTATTTTTATTCTGCAAATTAAAACTTACAGTATGTTACTATTATAATTGCTTCTTGTAAGTTAAAATCTCTCTAGCTCTGCTTGGAGGTTTTTTTCTGTCATTGACCGCAGGAATTCCCAGTATCAAAACAAACAATCATAGAGTAAGTTAAGCACACATTGGACCTGTAGTTACACATCCACACATATTAAAAACATTCAGTGATAATATGATGCTCTCTGAATTTGACTTGTCATTTTGTTGGGGATTGAAGTATTTATTTTGAAGGTGTAGTTTTGCCAAAAGACCATTCATAATACACACAGTGGTTCTGGTTCAGATGTAATACCTATGCTGAAATGGAGAATTTAGGATGTTGAAAAAACATGTTGTTCTGTATATATTGCATTCAGACTTGTATTCAGCTTTTTATAAATATTTTAGTATAACACATTTTTCATTGCAAAATATTTTTTAATTTAAAAATCAAAAGGTTTTCTCTCACGTTTCCTTCGTTACAATCGCAACATGATTAAAATCCAAGCATAAAACTAGAAGTTTGATAAACATGCAGTCTGAGATGCTTTAAATATTTTCATGTTACTTTTCACTATTTCCCAGAGTGAAACTCCTTTTACTAGAAGAATTCTTATGGGAAAGCAGAGTTGAAAGGACTGACATCATCAGCCCTTCCTGAAAAACAGATTGGTTTCCTTTAAGTAACACTCACTTAAGAAACCACCTATTTAGAGAGAGGCAGACAAAAATAGTTTCCAAGAAAATTAACTGTATAATAACTTAAAGCACTGGAGGGCAGTTCCTTTCCAAAGTTTAACTCGAGGGCTGGCACTGTAAACATGAGTTGAAAACAGTTGTTTGAAAAGTCTCTATTAAGCTTTAATTTTTCTCTTTGCAAACTATAGCTTCTCTCGGCAGAAGAGAGTTTTTATGAATGTATAGAAACAATAAAGCAAACTGCAGAATAGGCCTGATTTAAAAAAAAAAAAAAAAAAAGAAAGTATTTTAAATGTTCTTATTTGTTTAATCATTGCACTATTCCACAGCATTACACTTGGTTTGGCTTTTTTTGTTTGTTTTGTTTTTTCCTTTTTAATTATTTAAATGTAATTTCCTTCCCAGCCTCATCTAAAAGTCAAAATTTGT